CACATTCTTGAATAATCATCAATGAATGTGAGGAAATACCTGTTTCCACTCATGGTTGGAACCTGCATAGGTCCACAAACATCAAAATGCACCAATTCGAGTGGTTCTTGTGCTCTCTAAGTAGTCTCCTTAGGAAATGACTCCTTGCGATGCTTCCTAAATACACACCCTTAGCACACATCCTCACTATCTTGGATTTTAGGCAGCACCAACACCATTCCTTGATTCTGCAATAGCTTGAGATTCTTGAAATTTAAGTAACCAAATCTCTTGTGCCATATCTTTGCACATTCTTGCACACTTGTACTCAATGCAAGCTCCTTGTTTGTACTGAAGATCAAAGAAAAACTTATATTTCCCTTATGTTTCACATTAACCACTGGATTACTTAGAGACCTGTCATCAAACACATCCAATCTATAGTCTCTAAACAGAAGAAAATAACCATGCTCAGTCATCTGGCTTACACTAAGCAAGTTCTCTGTGAGACCAGGTACAATCATCACTTCCCTTATATATCTCATGCCCTTCATTGTCTCAATAATCAGTGTTCCCTTTCTTGAACATTAACCAAAATTCCAATGCCTACTTGGACTTTGGCTTTCTTTCACATTTATATCAATATCAACAAGTAAATGTTCTCTGGATGTCATGTGATTACTACATCCACTATCTGTAACATCCCACATCGACCAACGAAGAGGGGGTGATGTGCTTTATATGTACATGTCCACAACTATATAGCACGAGACATTTTGGGAGCTCATTGGCTTCGGGTTCGATCGGAACTCCGAAGTTAAACGAGTTCGTGCGAGAGCAATATAAGAATGGGTGACCCACTGGAAAGTTCTCGTGTGAGTTCCTAGAAACAAAATTGTGAGGGCGTGGCTGGGGTCTAAAGCGGACAATATCGTGCTACGGCGGAGTCGAGCCCGGGATGTGGTGAGGGCCCGGGCCGGGACGTGACACTATCTATGTACCACACATCATTTACCTTTTTCACTTCACTATAATGACTAGCATAAAACAGATTACCAGTTTCTCCTACCTAATGAGCAAAATTTATTTGTTGCACAACCTTGTTCGTATTGTAGAACCTTGCAATATGACTAATTTTGTTGCACTTGTGACACTTGACTTTGTTTTTAACCCAACATTCCCCATAGTGAAGTCTATCATAGAATTTACACTTATCCCCAATGTTGTGTGCATCATTTTTCACAACAACAACCTTATTACTCTACTCAGCCTTATTGCTCCAATCAGCCTTATTACTCCACTGTTTTCCTTTGAATTAAAATTCTTCTGATATTTGCCATTGTTAGCTTGACCATTAAACCTGTTTGGTTTAAATGCAATGTTCAAGCTAGCAAATGCCCTCTCTGTGTTACTCTCTCCATGCCTATCAAGTCTTTGCTCATAACCTTTTAGAATAGCAACCACATCTTGAGCATCTATGGTATCCAGATCCTTAGTATTTTATATCATAGATGCCATACTATCATAAGATTTAGGCAAACTAATTAACAATTTCTGCACTATTCTTTGATTACTCAGATCTTCACCATAGCTTCTCATTTGGTTAATCAGATCAAACAATTTAGCAATATACACAGAGAGTGATTCATCTTCATTCATACGAGTATACACAAAATCTTGCCTAAGACCTTGAAGTTTCACATAACTTACTTGCTTATCGCCAACAAATTCTTGTTTTAGAATGTCCCACGGAGCCTTTGCACTTTCTTGAGTTGCGTTCCTCAGAAAATTTGATCTGAAACAGCACCTTGAATGATTCCAAGTGCTCTAGCATCCTTGACTACATTTTCTTGCAACATCTTTTTCTTCGCCTCTGTGTGCTCCTCCTCTTTCTTCATCAAAGTATCAAAATCCTTTTCAACCAGATTCCACAATTCATGTGAACGGAAAATAGTTTTCATTTTGATTTGCCATAAATCAAAATTCTCACCATTGAAAATTGACGCTCTGAGTTCTCCTTCTCCAGATCCAGCCATGTTAGATTATATCACTGATACAAAATCACTGTAATGAGCTTTTGCTGTGAATCCGAGCTTGATCCTCCACAGATACGACGCCTAGAAATTCAAACCCAACCTGGCTCTGAAGCCATGTTAGAGATGGTTTTCAGATACTGAATTAAAAAGAAATAATGTTGGGAGTTATGGAGAAATACACATAGAACTCAACGAAGAAAAATGGAAGTTTTTTGATCAAAATTTATAAAGAATATGTCTCTGCAATTCCTTCCATTAAACTTGCACACACTGAGCATATGAGCTCATACAAGACAAATATAACCGTTAGAGAGAAGAGGGAGAGTGGTACACTCAAGTTTCAATCTCAGCCATTCATCCTACAGTACACTAAGATTAGAACACTTGTCACTCATCAAGCCCTATGAGACTTAACTAACTAATTACATTTTAATTAGATAAGCTCAGTCAATGAGCTGAAGCATTACATTAATAAAAAAATGTAATCTTCTCCACATCAGTTCATCAATTTACACATCAACAGGAAAATGAATTAGAAGAATAGGTGGGATCAATGGTCCCATTCAACCTACCACTAGAACAAGGATATAGATTTACTTGAGATCTTTGGGTCCATGAAGCCATTGATGACCTTTCTAACTTGAAAATATACAGGTCATTCTTGCAACGTTATTTTCCATCAAAGACAAACTACAGCTTGAGTTGTTTTTAATAATATGTTTTTGTTTATAACAAACCGTTATCTGTATATAAGGAAGAACTTGTAAACACAAAAATTCTGTAACGAATGAAACGAGAACACGTGTACAAAGTAGATTTGTATTGATGAATTTGTAGGTTACAATCTCTGTTTACAACTTTTCCTCTGATTCAGTCTTCAAATTTGATGTAGATGTGTGATTGGCGATCCAAGGGTCGCGATGACTTGATCTCGGACGAACAGTTGAACGATTGTTTCAAGTTTTGAGCTTGAAAACAATGCGTGGATGATCTTCACCTCAAGGGTGCGGCAAAAATAGTGCTTGATGTGGGATTTCATTGCTTCAAGGATCTTGGCGACTTGATCTTGAAATGAACGTTGCTACAAGTTTATAAGCTTGCAACAAAGTCTTAAAGGAATCAGCATGAGTGCTTGTTGATTCTTCAAGGGAGTGCTTCGATTTTGGTCGAAAGAAAGCTTCGGCTTTGGTTGAATGTTCTTTGAAGAGCTTTGGCAGCGTATTAGTCTTCAAAGGTTTGACAGAAATTCTTCTGTGTAGAGATTTTTTGACTCTTATGCTTGTGGGAGGACCTTGTATGTATAGGCTTCTTAAGGCTTGTCTTTGAGATGATTTTAGGCATGTTTTGTGTCTTAATTTCAGCCACTTTACTCCCTTGGCCGAATTTAAGGATCCTGTTGCCTATTTTGTGAGCAGTCTTCAATTTTTACTTGTTTTATGAAGATGCTTTAGCTTTCTTTCCAGTTTTATGATCAATTTGGATTCCCTAGCCAAATTTAAGGGGGATTCTCCCTTGTTGCCGAATTTTGGGGAAGTTTTATACTTCATTTGTTTGTTTTGTGCCACATATCATTGATGACTTGTTCATTTGTGATGAGTCATATGCCACGTGGAGCTTTACAATGCATCATTTGTATGCAATGAATTTTACATGTCTACAGAACCATTTCTAATAGAAGAGTGGAGCAATATTCTTGGTTTTTGAGGCTAAAACCCTCATTTAGACATTGTAGTCTACGTATAGTTCCACTAATGTAGGTTAACAGAAGTTGATGAATGTTGTGGAATTGGAACACGTTCAAGTTTTAGCCTTTTGTTACCTCCTATGGAAATGCAAGGTCGAGTTGGTCACATTTTCCTCTACTCACATTGAGGACAAGATTTTATTGTAAAAATGTGGTTTTAAATCGTTTGACTACATACATTTTTGTGGTGAACGGTGCATGGTCAGTGGTGTATAACTAACTAAAATGGCCAATTTCAAATGCAGCAGAGCTTCTGTTGTATTTGACTTTTTTCCATTTACATGGTGCATATTTGCAGAACCAGTCGGAGGAAGTCCCGATGTGTTTCATGCTGCTCTCATTGAAGGATGGTGGTGTCTATTCAAAGTTTTGGGTCCATATCCCACTTTTGTAAAGCACTTGGGCCGCCCCCAAATTTGTCTTTATGTTAAGCTTGTCAACATGATTTTAGTTAAATCACATGGGCCCTAATGCTAGAAAGATTTCAAAGAATAAGAGAAAGTGACCTGATTTTTAGCTTCACACATTTTTCTTTATTTTTAACAATTTAATTGACTTAATTAAACGAAAACAACGAACATTATTAAACACGAGTGTATAAGAGGAAAAAAAATGTGTGTGTTTATCATTTTTCTATAGTCATGTTTGGGTGAGTAAATGTTGAGTTCCACTAGATTGAGACCAAAAGGAATGGATCACAAAAATGTGATAAGAGGGATTAAGAAATGCACTACTAGAAAACTTCATTATAAATTTTGTTAAAGCGTATCCCGTATTGGGATTGAACTACATATAGCTTATACTAAATCGTCCAACTACTAATTGCATCGAGACATTTTGTAATAAAAACCCACACCTCTTAAAATACACGTGTAGTTAACTTGAAGAAAGTATGGATGATGATTAGTAGTTTTCCCATTGACACTCTCAGAAATTTTAACAAATTTTAATGAAAATCTAATAGTAAGGTGAACTAATAATAAACCATAGCTTTATGCTCCTTGTTGATGTATTAGTGTTCCTCGAATTTCATTTTTAATTAAAATTTCGTAATCAATTGCATTTGTTTATTTTTCTGAAATAAAATCTAATATACAAGTTGTGCACGTCATAATTAAGCATGGCTTTATACATAAGTAAGCTATGATGATATGCAATATAAATGTATCACATGCATGACTCAACTTGATGTGAACTTTATATTTTATTTTTCAAAAGAAGAAGAACGTGATGATAGTGAGGGTGTGGGGGGCATGAACAGCTAAAGCCACCAAATCTTCCCTTCAAAGAAAAGAATAAACAAAACTAGAAAAGAAGAGGAGCCCTACTTCATCATATTCCAACCAAACCACAGGCAAAAGAAAAAGAAAACCTGATAAAATTTAACATGGCAAGTCAAGAATAATATTAAAGAAAAAAGGCCATTGAAAATCATAAATTGTAGCGGGTATTTGATTGAGGGAAATGTATCTGTTAGAGGGAGTTTTAAGAAAGAAAGACCTGCAGTTTTTTTAGCATGGGATTTCATGGTAGGCTCAGCAGCAAAGAAACGGGGGCAAATAGCAGGTTGTGTAGTTTCTGTTCAGAAAATGGGTGTTACTGTGACATTGCAGAGGCCCCATTTGAGGAGAGGAACAGACTGATTGCAATTAAAGATCAAGTGAAGGAAGTTGAGAACAAATTCATGTTTTTACAGGTAATTACTTGCCCCCTCACCATTATTTGTTCATCCTTTTCCTTTGTGGCGGTTGTCCAATTTGTAAATTCATTTTTATGACAAACACTAGGATAATCTACACTAATTAGGTTGTTTAAACTACGAGGAGCGGAAATTGAACATTTGTGCAGAGGTAGAAAGTAGAAACACATTGCTAATTAAAGCCAACTAGATTAAGCCCAAGTCTGCAAAGTTGTCCAATTTGTATCTAATAGTAAGTCGCGTTCAATCAATAAACTTTGTGGTTTTCTCAATTCCTGGTGAACTCCAACGTAGCTCAGGGTATTCCAGTCGATTTTCCAGTTTATATATCACGCTGCATCAAGAAATATATGCTAAATCGGAATGTGCAATATTGCACCTTGACCAATTTTTAGATTTGTATGATCTTTTATTTAGGTTTTTACACTTGTGGGAATATGCATACGCAGAGAATGAGTTCTTGGCAGCAGATGGATAGGCAGGCAGCATTCAACAGTTTGGAAGAAAGCAGGCTAAATCTAGTAGCAAAGGTGACAGAATATAAAGGAAGAAGGGAACTTGATGTGGTGACAGAACTGAATGCATGTTTTGGCAGTGAAAATAATGTCCCTTTTAATTGGGATTTTGGAGGGAGACTGATTAAAAAGAATGAACCTGCAGGTGGTTTTCACAGCAGAAGTTTTCTCACTAACTGCATAAGAAAGTTGCTCGTCTCATGGAAGTGGCAAAAGGTTTATGGTATTGCAGTGAAACTAGCAATGGTTTCTGTGAGCATTTCTTCTGTAATTGCTGCTTACAGTACCAGGCAATTATTATGCACCAGCTCAAGAAAGATGATTCCATTTTTGAGTTTCAAAGATGCAGGAAAAAGTAGTAGTCTATTAACCTTCTCAAAGAACCCTCTTGATGTCTTCTTTGGTAGGGGATGATTCTTAATTCTTTTCATTTTTTATGTCACTCTGTCTCGTAGTTTGTCAAGAAAACTTTAGAGATTTATTTTTTGATTAAATTTACGTAACAGTAAAGTTTGTGAGAGTTAAATTCATGACAAGACATTAAGTAAAGACTGAGTATCACTAGACCAAATGATCATTAATGTGAAATGTTATGAGATCGGATCTCTTTCTTTTTCATGTAAGCATGTGCTGTCCACTTGTAAGAGTAGGTAGTCATCAAATGTCTTGTATGATATTTTCAACTAGTTCTGCCCTTGTAAAATTAAATCAAAATTTGATAGTTGGAACGACTTGAAAACTACAACTTTTGTGTATATCTTGTATTCTTGTGGGCACTTTTAATTTGAAAATGGATACAAATTCAACAGCTCTTTGGAACAAGAATAGAAAAAACAAAAACATACAAAAAATGCACAAGCAATCTAAAAATCATGGTCATGTGTGATGACTATGAATTTTATCAATACACACAACGAGAATCAACTTAATCACTCATTAAAGTTAGACATAATCACTATCCTAAGTCTAAAGAACCTAAAACCACCAAAACCCTAAAATAACCCGTAAACCCAAATGACAACTGGAGTGCGGATATCAAACTCACCACATATAACTAGGAAGAATTTTAGAACAAGGTGCGATTGTGAAGAAAAACTCAGTTTTTAGCGATCCAACTGTGCATAAGAAACAAACAAAGGTCCTCATCATATGTCAATGGCCAAAAACTAAGAAGATTAGCATGAATAAAAACTTTCAAATGGAGGGCTTTGAAGAATGATATCATAGAAGAAGCAGAATAAATATGACCTACTAAGATCAAATTATTCACTACGAGGGAGTCATTTGGGATCAGATTTAACTTTTAACCCAAATATCATAAAAGCCCGTTCAAATTTCTCGCACATGAATCCTCATCCACAGCCAGCAGGCCCAATTTGATTGCTCCCTTCAGCCCCACGAATCATCATTTTTTCTTCTGTACACTGTTCCTGACAAAAGAAAGAAGTATTCGTCGATTCCCCCGCGAGAACTTGTGAGAGTACTTCCAATGGGGGCTTTATGTTGGATGTTAGACTCTAATCCAACAGCTAATAGATCAATATAGTTAATAAGGATTGTTGTGGAATGCAAGTGCGATTAGGGTTTAGTCATAAGTTATAACTTGGACTCCAAGAAAGGTATATAATCCGGTTATAATTGGAGAGTAAGGGCTCTTGAATGAACTGATGTTTCTTCATGTTTTGATTTTGGTTTCTTTTCCGCTACTATATTTAATGCTTGCATGCATACGTATATGTACAGAGTTTGAGAGATAATATCCCTGCACATGTATGCAAATCTCGACTGAATATAAAACTAAGTAACATATACATATAAGACTACAAACAAGTGCCATGACTGCTTCTTGTATTATGATTGCATTCACAGCAACCCTAAAACTGTCTACCATGCATAACTGATGTAAGAACTAATTTTGGCCTATTAAAACTCATAAATTGTTTGCTTAAGAAGTCTTGATTGTTAAGCATGTTTAATGATCAAAAGTTTTAAGGTTCATAGCATGCGGAAAGTTATAACATGATCAATGTTTTTGAGATGTAATTGAATGAATGAAACACAAACAAATTCATTTCAATTATTCAAGAACTGCTAAAACATTCAAGGTTTAATTGATCAGCTTGTATCAGTAGCCATAGCAATGAGGTTATATCCCCAAATAAAGGTGTGACTAATCGACATTGGTTCAGTTATTGATAGCTCAATGAAAACATACAAGATGCATAAGCTGTGAAAGTTAATTGCCAAACAAAGGTGGATGGCTTTCATGTTGTACCATTACTTATGCAACTTATATGTTTTGCACTGATACTGATTAAACTTGAAAAACCAAACAAAGGTTGAGTTGTTTCAGTTATATAGAATATAGAGTCTTGAATACTTATTTTGTTTGAAAATCTTTTAGTAATTAGCTCCCTGAATTCAATTCAAACACTCAATGGAACCAATTATAAGAAATGGATGCAAGATATTGAAATAACACTAGGGCTCATGGATTTCGATTTAGCTCTAAGAGATAATGAACCAGCCAAGCCTGCTGACGATGCAACTGCAGAAAAGAAGAATGAATATGAAAGATGGGTTAAGGCTAACAGAATGGTGTTACTAATAATCAAAAGATCAATGTCTGATCTGGTTCGAAGGGCAATCACTGAGTCAGACAATGCTAAGGCATACCTTGACTCCATAAAAGCAAAGTTCAAGGAATCCGAGAAGGCTGAAATTGGAACACTAATGAACACCCTTATAACCACTAAGTACCTTGGTGGTGATGTGAGAGAGCACATTCTCTCAATGGTTGATGTAGCTACAAAACTTAATACACTTAACATTAAGATATATGATCTTTTCCTAGTTCATCTCGTCCTGAATTCCTTACCTCCTGAGTACTCTCAGTTGAAGAGTACTTACATAGCTCAGAAAGAAAAATGGGACTTGAACGAGTTGATTGCCATCTGTGTGCATGTAGAGCAAAATATTCGACAAGATAAAGGAAGAAACAAGTCAATGCAATACAGAATGTCAACCCTGCAAATCTTCCCAATGAGAAAGACAATGCTCCACAGAAAAACAACAAAAGGGCTGCATGAAGGGTTAATAGGGGTAATAACCATCTGAAAGTTCATAACGGTGTTGGAATAAAATGCTTCTTATGCAAAAAGGTGGGACATCAGAAAAAGGAGTGCACTAGGTATAAACGTTGGAAGTAAAACAAAGAAAGTAAGAAAAAAAAAAGGTATGGTGCATAAAATTTCAGTTCGTTTTGAAACAAATTTGGTTGAGATATCTTATGATACATGGTGGCTTGATACTGGTGCTATAATTCATGTAACAAACTCATTGCAGGGGTACATTAGTAAAAGGGTGCCAAACAAGGATGAGGTGTCAGTGTTCGTGGGCAATGGAGCTAGTGTTGCAGTGGAGTTCATTGGAGTAGTTAGGCTTAAGTTATTTTCTGGTTTTTTGCTACATTTGGTTGATGTTGCTTATATAGCTTCCATAAGAAGGAATTTAGTGTCAGTTAGTAGACTTGTTATATCAAAGTTTAAGTTTGATATTAATGAGATTGATTTTTCAACATTTCGAAGTTCCAAGCTAATTGGTGATGGAGTGTTGACTAGTGACATGTTCAAGCTTAACTGCAATATACCAATGAGTGTGGTTAACACAATAGGGCACAAACGAACATTGACAAACGATACCTCATCCAAGTTATGGCATAAGAGATTATGACATATTTCTAAAGAGAGAATGCAAAGATTAACTAGAGAACAAATCCTGCCATCATTGAACTGTGGTGATTTCGAAATTTTCACTAACTGCATTAAGAGAAAATTGATGAATAAGAAGAAGAAATGTTCGACTAGAAATACAAAGCTGCTAGAACTAATCCACACAGACATTTGTGGACCTTTCCCAACACAAACACATGATGGCTATAAGTATTTCATCACATTTATATATGACTTTTCTAGGTTTAGGTATGTATACTTGTTGACTGAGAAGCCTAGTGCCTTTGTTGTTTTCAAAATTTATAAAGCAGAAGTAGAGAATCAATTAGACTACAAAATCAAGGTGGTAAGGTCTAATAGGGGTGGAAAGTACTATGGAAAGTTTAGTGAATCTGGTAGACAACCTGGTCCTTTTGCATTGCTTTTGCAAGAGCATGAAATTGTTGCTCAATACACCAATCTTAGTACCCCTGAGCAAAATGATGTTAGTGAAAGAAGAAATAGAACTTTGATTGAAATGGTAAGAATCATGATGAGTAATTCGAAGCTACCTACTTTTATTTGGGAGAAGTAATCAAAACTGCAAACTACTTGCTAAATAGGGTCCATAGCAAGTTTGTCCCCAAGACACCCTTCGAGTTGTGGACTAACAGAAAACTAGTGCTAAATCACTTGAGAATTTGGGGATGCATCGTAGAAGCAAGAACATACAATCCAATGGAAAAAAAGATGTACCCTAGACAATCACATGCTTCTTTATAGGGTATCCAGAAAGAACTAAGGGTTACAGGTTTTATTGCCCAAATCATACTTCAATAAGAAAGCTCAGCCCTGAAAATAAAATTTTAATAAAAACCTTTGAAAATGTTATAATCCCTCGCCGTAAAACATGTATAGTTTCCAAGATATACATACTACATATAATATGAAAATACTCATGGTATCCTGCAAAATATCAAGATATTAATACGGCACAATAGTTTATATATAAGTGCATGACGTCAGTAATATACTTTCACATAAGCAAACATATCAAATCAAGTGCTCATCGACACATGCTGACGCACAAGTTCATGTAGAGTTATTCTAATATGAACATGACTGGGTGTAATAATGATATACGCTCTAGTGCTATAATCAAGGTGAAGACTGGCACTATTCATGGTCACATATGAGTCGGAGTTGCTTATTGCAACTTGTACGATAGAACTAACACCTACTTGGATTCAAGGCGGTGTGCGGTGTGGATGCGAACATACACGTGAAAGACTGGCCTTGGCCCTAGGCAAGCATTAACACCGGTGCGGCAAACGATGAGCATAAAACATAAATATAGTCATGCCATAATGGTTCGATATTTCTAATCAACATAATATCATTCGTAGTTGTAGGTATAATTATGGCATCAATAAACATATGCATACCTGTGCATCCTGTAGGATTTATGATTACTTCGTAATTTTCCGTTATTTCGCTAATTCTTATAAGCATTAGTCTAAGCTAGACATACGTAGTAAATTCTCTTTCAATGTATAAATGAAAACTAACAAATACGTATATACTATATAAAAAAAAAATCCACTCACCTGAAGTTCGCGCTACAACTCTCTAACATGAATATCGAGGCATCATGAATGATCGTCACCTAGAACAAATATCAAATCACGTCTCATAATTGTTATCGATAAAACATGTAATTTACATAAAACACATCCCCAAGGACGTTCTAGGACGATTTGTAACCCATTGACCAAAAGTCAACCGTATGTCAAAGGTAGGGTCCACAACCCTACGTAACTCGATCCGGAAGATCCACACCTCAGATTTCTGATCCATAGTATCCCAAGAGTTTCAATAAGCTTCTAGAACAACATCCTAAAGTTTCGGAACGATCCAACGGTCGGATCTTTACC